AAACGACGTCATTCATACAGTCCACATGGTCATGACGAAAACAGTTTAAAGTAAGTCCCTCGTCGTGTGGACGAGCCTTAAAGTCCGTTCCATACACTACATCAAACATATACTGATTTCAATCAGTGTTTGTGGTTATTATTTTGAATTCAACTCGTGATAGATATGCAAGAAGGCACTTTATACTTACACCTGTCTGAGTCTTAACTAAAATATATTAATGGCCCAAGTGGATATAAAGATCTTTGGGATCGTTTAGTTTGTTTTACAAATGTCTCTAGTTGCAAGTTGCGTTCAGTTGCTTCAAAATCAAAGATTACGAATTTCCAAATGTGAGACAATCGCGCAAAGCCTCTCGGATGAACACGGGCCTTCAGTTTAAATCTAAGATTGGTCTAAATGTACCAGATAAAGGACAAAGGAAGTTAATTTGATTACAATATTTTCTCTGTGTGCAGGGCTGGATTGCGAGCATCAGCTATTTTACTACCATTACTTGGCGTTACGCTTGTGTTTGCGATTCTTATGGTCAACAAAGACTTGGAAATGTTTCACTATTCGTTTGCTGCCCTCACTTGCTTTCAGGTATGTATTTGATATACTGATTTATCATATAATTATCTCTAAAATACCTATATTTCTCCATTTCGTAAAGTTGTTATTTTCACTATTGAAATAACACATTCGAGGTTTCTCTATATAGTGGAAGTAAGAAAAAAAGGTATTTTACGGCATAATTTGCTTGCTAATTCGCTACACTCACTCGTGAGAGATCTTTTCAACACTCGAAGATAAAATCCGTATCTCCGCGCGCCCGTGTAATATCCTCTATTTTTTCTAAATAGCTGATTATTTTCCCTATTCTTAATGATTGATTGTTTTTTTTTTCTTATAGGGATTGTTCATCTTTTTGTTTTATTGTCTGTTTGATAAGAAGGTGAGATATAAAATCTGTGAAACAACAACAACAACGGTATTTTATTAAACAGTTTGCAATATTCATAAACTCTCATGAGCGATGCCAGTGCAACAACTACGTCCGACCTGGCTTCCTGGACTGCGCATGACTCGGCTTTGGCCTCCCTGATGATGATAATGATGAAATGATGATTTGCAATATTACAATGAGAAAAAAACCCTTAAAAACGAGGAAATGCTAAATAAAACTAAACAAGTTTTGGATGCTTAGATATCGCTAGTTCTATTGTACATTTTTCTATTGGAGAGTTACACGAGTGTGATACTCTCATAGACCTTGTCTAAACGGATGCGTTTTCGTAGCGTCTGTACTGCATTTCATTTTATTGCATTTTTCCCCAGGTCCGCAAGGAGTTCAAGAACGCGTACGTTCGCTGGAAGACTGGAGACAAGACCTATGGAATTCCTAAACCTGTGCAACATTTTGTAAGTAATTTCCATCAATACTAGCGAAAGTGCCTCCAGAGAGACGTGATAAATTATGCACAGTTGAAAGACAGAAAAGTGAATGACTTTATGTCCACCCAAGAAACTCGTTGCATGTGATATTAATATGTGACTTTAATAGTGGAATGGCTATGTTAAGCGGATTGTCTTTAGGGTTGTGTTTAGAAATTGAGTCCGAGCTTTGACTGACGATGCTCTAGACAGCGAAAGCTCGGACTCAGACTTCTTAACACATAAAAGCCAAGGCTTTATTAGATACAAATCGTTATTTACGGTGTTGAATTTGTTTTTCCAGAAACGTTCCTACCATCCTGGTGAAATGACAGCGGTACGATCTCCTTACCATTACGATGAAGACGATGGCGGTAATACCAGTACTTCAGAACCATCCAGTAGTATGCCTAGTAGTACTGCTGGTACTAGCAGACCTACCAGTACAGCCTACAGTACTGGCATGTCAATACCAGATAGTAGTGT